CGCTACTAGGAGCAAAGGGCATCGCTACTAGGAACAAGAAAGCTACTCTTGGCCTTACTACTAGGAGCAAGGACGCTTAGAGGCTCCTGGCATCGCTATTCGGAGCAAGGACGCTACTAGGGGCTCCGGGCCAAGGGCCAACAGTGACAGTTTCGACGTGTTCGAAGTTTGCCCGTCGATCCACGTCAGACCGAACAGCTCTCCGCTCTTAACCAAACACGGTAGATTTGATAACCAAACTCGCTTTGTAGACCCCAAACAAAGCGAATGGCCTGCAGCTGCCTGACCATCTGAGTTCAAGCTTTGTTGGCAATCTACCCATGTTGAGCCTATGGGCACCTCCAGGACAAAAGAGCCAGAGTAGACCAATGGGGTCAGGCAAAGAACAAACAGCACCATGGTGGCCGCTAGCCTTTCTTTGTTGCTATATACATCCAAGGAACATGAACCCACCTTGGTCCTGGATTTGACTATCAATCTTTCCTAAACACCCCATTTCGCCCCACAACAGCACGCCCTGGGAGGGCGGCCTTGATCTTCCACACTGAAGGTGGTCACCCGGAGCTGCGAGAAGCCCACTTGCTGCAGCCACCCCTGGAGGGTTTCCATGCTGCTTCGACGCAGCAAAGCCTCCACAGGTGCAAAGGCATCCTCCAGAAAGTCAACTACACCACAAGCTGGAAGCAGGCTTGGACAAGAAAAACAACTCTTCATTTGTCTTATTCTTCTCCCTTTGGAAGAGAGTTCATCCTCTTCCAATCACAAACTCGACGGCTCGCGCGATCGGGCTTTCATAGCTTTGGCATCGCATTCCACATTTCTCACGTGCATCGCTACTAGTAGCTTCTAGTTACTAGTAGCGATGCACTTGTTACTAAGAGTGTGCAACAGTTTTCCGTGATCTGAACAGGAAAATGTCTAGCCTTCAGCGAAGGACAACTTCGACAAGTACCTCAAAGCTCGTTGGTCGCTGTCAACACTTCGAAGTGACGCCCGGAGCCGAAACGGAGAGCCCGCCCAGCTTCAATGTGTCATCCCTGGGGTGAATGCACCAGATTCCGATTGCGTTCCGACACTTCGTTCCAGATTCCAACTCCCAAGCATGAGAAATGATGGCAAGGAAGCTACTAGGGGCCTGCTGGCATCGCTATTAGGAACAAGAACGCTACTAGGGGTTCCTGGCGCCTTTCTACTAGGACACGTAATTTGGGAATTATGTCGATGTGCACCATGAATTCTCTCCTTAGCATTCCTAGGTTTTCACAAGTCAACGGCTTCAATGCCAGCTCGAGGCACCACCAAATGCACCATAACAGCCACAAGTGACCTGCAACAAATCTGGCTGTACGACACAAGCCTCAAGCTTCCAGCGGAACAAAACTTTCAATATCTGTTATATCATGTTGCATTTTGCAGGTACCTGCCACAGGCAGTGCAAGGATACCCGGATGTCCCAGCTCTCCTACATCTAATGGCTGCTCTGACTGGCTTGAGATTCAGGCAAAGCAAAATGGCAGGGGGAGAGAGAGAGAGAGAGTCAATTGAAAATTGTGAAACTTGAGAACACTGATGTGAATTGTTTCAGGCTTGCTTGAGGCTCATGTTGCTTAACGACTGCAAATTCTTTTTCTCAAACTGATACGTGCTTTCCTTACGTCCTTGCTCCTAGTAGCGATGCCAGGAGCCCCTAGTAGCATCCTTGCTCCTAGTAGTAAGGCCAGGAGCCCCTAGTAGCTTCTTGTATATAGTGTTTTCCTTACAAAATACCTGGATACCCTTTCAAATTCCTGGGCACCGGACTTGTGCGGTGGCTCCAGTGGGTAAGACCTGGACGAAACAGATTGGTCTTGAAATGCTTCAACTGGTCCATTCTGACGTTCTCCTGCACTGCCTGTTGGATCCTGTTGGCCTATCTTTGAAGTTACCATCTCCGGCAGTGGCATCTCCTTTCCTTCTATCTGAGTATTGTCGTCAGCTTCTTTTTTCTTTTCTTTGGACCTTTGAACTTGTCCTTTCTTGTTCTTCTATTTTAGACGTCAAAGACCTTTGCCCAAGCTGCCTCTACGGTGGTGTTCGCAGCCAAGGCTTGTTCGATGCCAGCTGCAAAGCCCTGACCTGAGACGGAAGAGCACCACATCTAAGCATGTAAACACACGGTAAGTGTTCCTAAAAGTCTAGGAACCAAATAATTAGTGCGTGAGCTATCCTGCGTTCACTTGCTAGAAGCTCACTAGTCGCCCTTAATTGAGTAGGTCACTAGGTCGTCTCTACTTGAAGTAGTAGGGGGATCAGAGCGGGGCAGGCCGGCGAAAAAATAGACGGTCTCGAGAGCGGTCAAGTCCGAATGCGAAAGCGGTCACGCGTCACCGGAAAGTGTTTTCTTTGCGTTTGCCGATAAAACAGAAAGGCTACATGCGTTCCCCTTTTTTAGTTCGCCCTTACTCAATTGAGTAGGTGCCTATTTAATCAAGTAAGGAGGTAAGCTACTAGCAATAGGAAGCTCCTAGCTAGGACGCGGGATATCATTATTCATTCCAACTACTGGATCACTGTTCTGTTCTGGCAGTGATGCTGACAAAGACTCGTCTCCCAAGAGAAATAAAGCCTGCAAAGTCTGTCAACAGAGCATCAAACCCAGCTTCGTCCGGTGCTCCAACTTCTGCAAGTCAAAGCCTAGCATTTTCGCCAAGGCCCGTCAAGTCCTTCACTTCACTCTCATCATGTCAAGCAGGGTTCCAGGTCCAATGATATGTTGCTTTCGAGTCGTTCAAACACTTTTATTCTTGCACCATCGGGAAGAGACAGCTGATGCTGAGATTGCTGAGCTTTGGAATCTCAAACTTTGATTTCACAGGGGTCCGGGTGGTCAGGGTCTCAATGGGTGTCAATGCGTGATGTTCCAACAGGATTCAAGCAGTGACCTTTGTCAGACCAAAAGTCTTGCAACCTTTGGAGATAAGAAACTCGGCTACAGTTGAATAAGGCAGCCGGAGATTCTTTGAATTGGATGACCGTGTTGGCGCCTCCCATTTCAGGGTGTTACTGTCGCAACCCTTCACTGGAATGTGAACTTCACTTATAAGTCTTGCTATGAGGGTCTCATAGTGCAAATTGCCAATCACCCCCCCCCACCTGCCCATCGAGTAAAACCCTTGGTTGATAATCAACCACAATTCGATCACTTAAGGCTTTAATCAACTTGCCTGGCGTGATGAAGTCAAAGCGGAAGCTGAGGAATTGATGCTCAAGACCTTGACCTCAAACCACTTCTTTGCGTCACGAGTACAGTTTCATTGTGCCTCTCTGCCGTTGGTGTAACACTCACCTCCTACAGTAAACTGGTTGGGTCGGGAAACTTCAGCTCTCTGTCATACTGGAATTAGCTTTTCAGCAACATATGTTTACTAGTAAGGCACTTGTTACTAGAAGCGATGCACTTCTTCCTAGTAGCTTCTTGCTTTTCAGCAACATATGTTTTCTAAGACATTTGCATCCCAAACCGTCAGCCCCAATTTGCGCGAATGGATCCAGCGAAAGGGCTTCCCAGCATCCATGTGGCCAAATTCATATTGTGGTTGCGCTTGACTTGATGCTTAGAATATCTGCGATCTTCTGCCCAGCAGCATATAGCAGAGCAGTGCTCTGACATCCATCTTTCCTGGCAGCTTCAATTCAGTGAGGCTTGGCTAAACACGAATACAAGAGTTGCGATCTCTCAAATCTACAGTCCACTTTCAAGCCCGCATCACCGATCCATTTACCACAGCACTTCGGACCAACACTATGTGCAAAAAAACTTCATCGCAGATCCTAAATGGAACATGCGTGTCAGGTCATTATATAAAATGTTTATCCTGCCACTTCAAGTCAAAAAACACAGAGCTTGTGGCAGGCCATCGCTCAGTTGGAGGCCATCGCTACTAGGGTGGAGGTCATCGCTCTTAGGTTGGAGCCCATCACTCTTAGGGTGGAGGCCATCGCTCTTTGGCATTTTGGAAAGATGCTCTTCAGACAAGTTAAGTTTTAGGAACCAAATCAGTAGTAGTGCGAGCGCTTCTTCAAGGAAGCTCCCCCCCGCCGTCAAGCTATCCTGCGTGTCCATACTAGCAGCCTACTTGTAGGTACTAGCTAACGACCTTGCTTCTACAAGCTACCGACACTCTAGCTACTTCCTACCTCCCTCCCTAGCGGCCTACCCAAACAAAAGAAGTTCTCTCCTTTTTTCAACACAAAGAGATTGGCACCTCTGGGCTGAGGCCTTCAAGGCCATTCGCAGGGCAAGAAGTGAGGAGCTGTAGACAAATTTCCTGTCGCAGCTTCCGGCCGAGGAGAACGTCTGTCTTGTGAAGTGAAAAACCTGAAGCGAAAGAAGCGAAATGCTTTTCAATCTGAGTCTGATGGCTTTCCAGACCGGAAACATAAGCCTGATAAGACACCGGGAACGCGGACAAGGAAGTTAAAATTAGAGTAAAACAGGTGGTGGTTCGGCCTTTGATGCAAAAAACCGGCCCCTTCAAAGTTGCCCAAGTCCATCTTCTCACGAGGTCGGTTACACGAGATTCGTCTCCTGAATCTCAGAGCTTGGAAGCGGCCCGCAGCCGTAGAGCTCCTAGCCGTGACCGGGAAGACTTTTCCATCCATTCCTGTCAGTCCTTGTTTGTTCTCTCACAATGTCATACTAGCACCCAAAACGTCAACCCTAAGTATATACTGCGAACAACACAGCACGTCAAATTTCTTTGATTTGAGGGTTACACGCAGAATCTGGCAGGAAGGTCCCTGAAAGACCTCTGAACACTTGGAGGTGTAATCATCGAGACCGCACAAATCTCTGTCATATTGATATGTCTTTTTTGGTTTGTTTCGATTACAGTTCAACTCACTAAGATGCATGTGGAAACTACATGGTTATTACTATTATTCGTTCAAAAAGTTGTCCACTTCAATGCCTCCAGCTTTCACCAGTCTTAATCAAAATCAAGGTCTGAAGGACAAAGAATAGAAAAAAGCCTATGCAACGAAAAAGACAGCAGTCTCCGCTTTGACTTCCATCCCGCTCCCGAAGCTTCAGTATGTCCCGGGCTGACAAGCCACTCCTTTGTCCTTGCACTCGGTGGCTACAACTTCGTACAAACGCGTGGCATGCAATACTACGACTTTGTTCAGGGGCCTTTGCGGTTGCTCCATCTGCTGCAACATCAAATAAGGATGACTAACAGTGTCCTTTCATTCAAGTGTCACAACTGGTGATTGTTTGAAACGGGGAGATTGCCCCAGAGAATCAACATCACATCCAATCAGAAATGACCCCACGGGTCAACATCGAAATTATGCAGGATTGTGAGTCCGCCAGGTTCAGATCTAGGTGCTTGACAGTCTCTAGAGTAACCAATCAGAACTCTAAGCATCCCCTTGAACAGAATCAATGGCTTCTGTGAGAATGAAGCCAAGCGTATTGCCACGAAACATCCGCTACCATCTTCTTCCAATGAATGTTGATCCACAAGGTCAGGTGCTTGGTTGGAGGGGGCATTGCTATATTCGCCATGTTCAAATGCAGAAATAACACGTGTCTTTATTGTTTGCATTTTCCCTCGCAATAATTCGCAATAGCCCCACGGTGGCCCAGCTATCCCATATCCGTCCTATCAGCGGGTCATTGACACCCGTGCGGCGCGTGCCGCTCGCAGCCAGGCTTGAAGCACTGCCAACCAGCGGAAGAGTCGTGACCCGCTCCTGGCCCTGCATCACGGAACCTTGGAAAACCAAAACAGAAATCAGGACAATTGTTTGAAAGCCCGCTCGGTCCTGCCTCCTTACGTAATTAAGTAGAGACTACCTACTTAATTAAAGGACAAGCTTGTACGCTCCTAGTTACTGGACGCTACTACATATGGACGCAGGATAGCTCACGCTCGCACTAGTCATTTGGTTCCTAGATTCTTGGGGGAACTTAACAATTGGTTCTTCTTTTTTGCCCTTCACCTTCTTTCGGACAAAACGTATGTGTTGGATAGCTTTCATGGAGGTATCAAACCTCCGTCTGCAATGCGTGATGATAAGCACATGAGACTCTCATGATGCCAGGGCCAGAACTAGCACAGGGAAAATTCTCAAAAAAGGAACACCAACATGTAAAACAAAACAACACCAACAACTATAATTAGAAAAAGGTTACACCAAAGCCCCTCCAATACACTCTCGAGCTGCCAAGGTCATATGGACCGGCCATCGTCTCAAGCTGCAGAGGCACATCGGTTAGAACAAAGCTGCTACGGTCCTTGAAGGTCAAAGCTACACAAAACGAGGTTCACAGACTTCAAACACTTAACACACCGGCTCAGTCTCACCTGGACGCCCTCTTCGGACACACGGAATGCATGCTCCTAGTAGTGAGGCCAGGAGCCCCTAGTAGCTTCTTGTTACTACTAGTAAGGCACTTGTTACTAGAAGCGATGCCCTTTGCTCCTAGTAGCGTCCTTGTTGACATGAAATGAAATCCTCCTGCTACGCTTTTGGGGTTGATATCACCTTAGTTGCGTATGCGTGCGCACTGACCGTCTTCACGGGAACAAACACCTACGTGAGACACATAGCCCAAAATTTGAGACCACACGCTTTCTGACTTTCTGCAAATAAGTTCAACATAGTTGGTACGCTTCAACCCTCAGTCAAAGTGTCAAGCAACAAACCAAGTCTAAGATCCTTGGACAGTTGGCTTCAGCATGTTCAACACTGAATTCGGTGCAGCATTCCGTTGCTTTCGACAAAGTTCGGGTGATTTTGCTCGCCAAGCTGCAGGTCGTTCCTCCTCATTGATGAGACCCAACACGTGCCTATGCAAAGGTTTGGGCAGAGTCAGTTTGCCCTTTCAGCATCTTTCCTTTGAATGTCAACATGCTTGTCAAACACCTTTGTCTTGGCGACCATTTCGTGGCTGGGATTAAGTGTTGCGGCGTAGCGCCTGTCAGTTTGTGTCCTGAGGTGCCAGAATACAGAATATGGTTTGAGACGACTAAGTGCAAGTAGCACGCCGTGTTTGATGACATTCTGCTGCAGCTGAGGTGAACCTGTGAAACTGATTCATGTGCTCGCAGCGGGAATCCTAAAGGTTTTGCTCATGAATCTTGGACTCTCAAGGTTTTTAGAAGCATCTTGTTCCTAGTAGCCTTCTTGTTCCTTGTAGTACGGCCAGGAGCCCCTAGTAGCGTCCTTGCTCCTAGTAGCGATGCCAGGAGCCCCTAATAGCTTCTTGTTCCTAAATCAAGTCTGCAGACAGGCTACCCCAGCTCATGCAACACAGCTCCCAAGTGGTAGGAGCTGCTGCACCACCCCAGTTGAAGATCAACGCCTCGAGCTTTCAGCTTCAGGAACTAAACAAACTGATCTTGAAAAGGACAAAGAACCAGTGCTACTTCTCCGCAATGATGAAACATGTTTTTTTTTCCGCGGGTGTGCATTGAGTGTCCAACCAACAAGCGCTCCCAAATAGCAACCTACCCCTTGCTACTAATTAGACTTGCAACAAAAAAGGCACGCCCTTTTGCTAGTCCGAAGTTCTTTCTTTCGGGCACGAGGCAGCAAACGGTCTTTCGGGCAGACGCGTGTCTTCTTTCTTTCTTCCATCTGAGATCCCGACCTGTCGACCATCCCACCCGCGAGGCTCCACAGCTGTGTCCCGCAAGAATTCGGAGCTTCGCCGCCCCTGGTCGAAGCCGATTTCGACCTCGACCCCAAAGGAGCTCAGTGATTCTGAGATTCGCATCACGCCTGGTGCCTGAGCAGTTTCAAATAGAACTGAAAGGATCTAAAAATAGACGATAAGGAAGATAGAACCCCCGTGCCCACGAAAACCATGTACGCCCAGACCATGCCGTGCGTGCCGTCCGTTTCCAGAAATCGGATGCATGTGCTCCTGGCACCGGACAACGACGCCGCTCGCTGCTCGTATAGCGTTCTAGTAGTAAGGTCAGGAGCCCCTAGTAGCGTCCTGGCTCCTAGTAG